TCAAAAAAAAAAAAAAATAGTAAAAAAAAAAAAAACAACCCCGAGACTGTCAGAAACCCAACACCTTTCAATGTTGACCAATAAAATCCTTTTATTTAAGAGTCGACAGTGCACTACTATATCCACAGCAAAATTCACATTCCAAAGTAATCTTACCATTCCCATAATCAACATTTTATGGTGCACAAAGATCTGCTCAGTGCCAATGGCAACCCATGTTAGAAAATTCAACCTCCAGAGTGGAAAAAATAGAAATTTTAATTTCTTTGATGAAGAGACCAATTATGTTAGACTATTTTATCATGCAACTCCCTCAGAAAGTATACATCAAGGGTTATGTTTTTAACATTTAGATCTCCCAATTTGAGATTAAAATGATACAGATAAAAGTTTCACAGCCAGGCACAGTGGGTGGCTCACACCTGTAAACCCAGCACTTTGAGAGGAGGTGGTAAGAGGACTGCCTGAGCCCAGGGGTTCGAGACCAGCCTGAGAGACTTCGCGAGACCTCGTCACTACAATAAATCAAAAATTAGCCAGTGTGGTGGCCCATGCCTGTGGTTCCAGCTACTTGGAAGGCTGAGGCAGAAGGATTGCCTGAGCCCAGCATGTTGAGGTTGTGGTGGCCATGAGCATGCCCCTGCACTCCAGCCTGGGTGACACAGTGAAACTCTTAACTCAAAAAAAAAAGTTTCACTACTTTTCTTCTCTACCCACAGGTCCAAGTGAAGACAGTCTCCACTTCCCACCTCTAAATTCCACTTCACATCTTTGGCGACATAACACACTCCACTGATTCTAGGAAACCAGGCTTTGTCACCAGGGAATTAATAAGGTCAGAAATTTGGGAATTCACAGGAAAAGGCAATTTACCTAATTTTTTTCCCATGGCCTAATGTGAATCAGCATGATTCTAAGAACATCCCCCCTCTCTGGATTTCTTCATTAACCATCTGGTTACTACACATAACCTAAAGAACCTAACCTTGACATTTTAATACACACCGACTTGTTTCAGGCAATATGTATGTGTGGGCATCTGAGTGTACCTCAAAAAACAAACATGCACAAGCCATTATGATTTTATTCTCGCAATTTATTAGTAACGCACAAATGGTTAACGGACAGGCATCCCAACTCGACAGACCCGTCCCCAGCTTCCCTGTAGGAAAGTTCTTCCTCTTACCCAACTACCCTGGGCCTGTTCAGAAGCGGCTAAAAGTACCATCTTGGACCCAAGTTTACGCAATAAATAAATCCAACTTATACAATCAGTCATTATATCTTTAAAAAAAAAAAACTAAAACCATGTCACTTTTCTTCAACTTTTAAAATGCCTGCCCACGTTGCTAGCTGGGATTAGAAGCAGAGGGCTGGCAAAGAAACAAGAGATAAAAACACAGAGGGACGTCCCCCATCAGTGTTTCCTTGAGGGGAAGGTCTCGCATACTGATGTATCAAAAATACCTTTTGAAGAGTGAAGGAAAAATACCCTCGCGCACTTCTTACATTCCTTACCCTTGAGTGTCCACGTTAACAACCCCACAGTCCACGTGAAACAGCAAGACAGCACGTGAGTTATGCGAGGTCCACCACACACGGAAGGGCAACCACACGGCAAAGGACTTAACCACCGGGGAGGCGCCACTCAGTCCCCTTTTCCGCTTTATTGGTCTGGACACAAGCACATGAGCCTGGAAACAAAAGACGACTCTGCAGGATTTCCAGCATGACCATCATCTTTCCCACCGTGAGTAAGAGTAGCCGCGCAGCCCAGGCCAGTTTCACAGAAAGGGGCAGCTCCTGTGCGACCATAGCAGTCCTCTGGTCGGCCTCACGTCGTGAGGGCGAGGGTGTTGTCTCCACGGCCGCGCTAGCCCGGCCCCTCCGCAGGAGCCGGAGTCGATGTCCTCGCACCCAAGACAGCCGGTCGCTCCCTGCCGCAGCCCGGTCTGCTCCAGTGTTTACCATGGCATTTCCTGAGTCACCTAGTCCACTGCACATTCCGATCAAATGGCATCCAGGCATCAGCAGATCATCACCCTGACTGAAAAAAGTTTAAGCACACATTTTTTTCCCAAGAGGGAACGTCTTAAAAATGACAGGAACAATTCTTAACACTAAAGCAGTTTTTGGAAATTCTAAATACAACCAGATTAAAGAGAACCCCAGGTCTGTTTTAGGTCACCTTTTCAAGCCAAAGTGAAAGCACACTGGTAACAGAATTAAAGGCAGGCTGTCCCACTCTTAGGAAGACTTCTTTAAGACAAATCCAGTCACAATGAACTATTCCAGTCTTATGGGGAGAACTGGCACAACACAGCTAGTCAGTTAGTAGAATTAAAAGATAGCTGGAAATCTCATTCACACCAGAGTACATGTATAATTTAAGAACAGGAAGCACAGACAGGCTTCCCCAGTTAAATAGAGCCCTAAGTAACTGACACCTCTGTACATGAGGTAACAGGAATAGAATTTGGGATAGCGAGCCATTCCGTTACCTTTAAATTTTCCCACTGAACCCAAATAAACTAAGAAAGGAGAGGCACACTGGACCAGCTCGCCCACAGTCATGTCATCTGGAGAACAGCGATTACCTGTATGGGAGCTAAAGGCTTGGCCTGGTACGAACTCTGGACAGTCAATCAGCTGAGAGAAGTCCGTCTGGGGCACATGACGTGGAGGAGGGCCTGGAATCGGCCATTTTTCCGGTTCTATCTTTTTCCTCATTTTTTCATCCACAATTTCCACTTCTGTGCTATCCTTCAGTGCCTACCAATTGACATTTTGAACTGTTAAAGAACTTTCATTCAAAAAATTTTCACTGCATGTCCTATACTTCTAAATAACCTAAAAACCAGAAAGCCTTAGCCGGGTGTGGTAGCGTGCCTGTAGTTTCAGCTCCTTGGAAGGCTGAGGCAGAAGGATCACCGGAGCCCAGCAGGTCGAGGCTGCGGTGGCCGGGAGTAGCCACTGCACTCCAGTCTGGCGACAGAGGGAGATGCCAACTCAAAAAAAAAAAACCTGGAAAACCTGAAATTAGCAGACTAATTTGCAGACTGATTTGGCTCTAAAATTACCCATAAATTAACTACAACAAACAAATTTTAAATTAATTTGCTCCTGTAAAGTAAAAAAATCCTCACTTCTATTCATCTAACTTGTCGATGATATTTTTACAATAATAATGAAGCAGATGACTTTTACTACATTTTTATTGTCATTTTTTCCCCTTTCTCATATTTCCCTTTATCTTCCCTTAAAATAATATTATCTGGCCGGGTGCGGTGGCTTAAGCCTGCAATCCCAGCACTTTGGGAGGTCAAAGTGAGGGGACTGCCAGAGCCCATGGGTTCGAGAACAGCCTGGGCAACCTGGCAAGACCTCCTATCTCTACAATAAATCAATAAAATAATTAGCCAGGCATGGTAGTACGCGCCTGTAGTTGTGGCTACTTGGAAAGCTAAGGCAGAAGGATCCCTGGAGCCCAGCAGGTCGAGGCTGGGGTAGCCGTGCCACTGCACTCCAGCCTGGGCAATGAAGTGAGACTCCAACTCAAAAAATAATAATAATAATCTAATAAAATTTAGGCATCTTATTTTATTACTGTGATAACTACCACCATTTACTGAAAAATAAGTTCTGCATGCACACACAATTCCTCACATACCCCACAGGTAGGCTTTATCCCTACTTTATCAGTAAGAAATAAAGGCTCAAAGAAATAAATCCAAGCAAGACCCATAAATCCAGCAAGAGAAAACAGGATTCAAATCATTCACTACACAACCACAAGTAAACCAAGAGGCCATGGAGCCCCTAAAACACAGGCTATCATTTAAGGATAAACCAAACCAGATGTGAAGTTCCTCAGAATAAAAATTAAAGTCTTACTGACTTAACTTTTCTTCTTTTTTTAAGTCAGGGTCTCACTCTGTTGTCACCCAGGCTGGAGTGCAGTGGCACGATCATGGTCACTGACGCTTCAACCTCCTGGGCTCAGGCTATCCTTCTGCCTCAGCCTCCCAAGTAGCTGAGACTACATGCATGCACCACCATGCCCAGCTAATTTTTCTATTTGTTGTAGAGAGAGGGTCTCACTATGTTGCCCAGGCTAGTCTCAAATTCCTGGGCTCAAGCATTTCTCCTGCCTTGGACTCCCAAAGCGCTGGGATTACAGGTGTGAGCCTTCACACCCAGCCTACATTTTTAAAAAATATTTTATTCTTAGAAAAGCCTTAGGTTCATAGGAAAATGGAATGAAAATACAGATTGCTTTTTAAGTGAGCAATTACCTCTAAGATGAGATGAAGGTTTGTAGTGAGAGCCTGGACACGGTGAAAACCAGCAATCAGAGAGACAGGCAGGAAACCTTGTTCGTCCATCTTCCTCCGAAGGAAAAAGTCCCGTTCCAAATTTTCTATGCTAAAGTAATATTCGCTGCAAGGAGAAATAAGAGCGTAAACATACATTTCACCCATTTATCTAATAAGAATTAAAAATGCCTGTTGCTTATACATCAACTGATATAAAAATATTATAATTTATTAATAATATCACATAGTCTCATACAACACAGTTAGGGCAGATAAAGCGCCAGACATAGTGGCTCACACCCGTCATCCCTGCCCTTTGGGAGGTGGAAGCGAGAGAACTGTCTGAGTCCACAGGTGCAAGCCTGGGCAACTTGGCAAGACCTCATCTCAACAATAAATCAAAATATTAGCTGGCCATGGTCCCACACACCTATAGTTCCAGCTACTTGGAAGGTTGAGCTAGCAGGATCACCTGAGCCTAGCAGGTGGAGGCTGTGGTAGCTGGGAGTACGCCACTGCACTCCAGCCCAGGCGACAGAGTGAGACGTCAACAAAATAAAATTTTTAAAAAGGTAACAGCAGCCGGGCTGGATGGCTCAGTCTGTAATCCTAGCACTTTAGGAAGCTGAGATGAGTGGATGGCCTGAGTCTGTGGGTTCAAGACCCACCTGGGCAACTTGGCAAGACCTTGTCTCTACAATAAATCAAAAATTAGTTGGGCATGGTAGCATGCATCTGTAGTTCTGGCTACTTGGAAGGCCGAAGTGGGAGGATCGCCAGAGCCCAGCAGGTCGACGCTGGGGTGGCCATGAGAGTGCCGTGGCACTCCAGCTTGAGTGACAGAGTGAGACTCCAACTCAAAAAAAAAAAAGAAAGGTAACAGCAAAAAAAACCCGCTACTGAATTAATAATTTCTCTTTAACTGACAAAATACTGATATTGTTTAGTACTTCTGGACCCTGGTAAGTAGCACAATGCGTAGATAAAAACTCAGTGAACACACAGGCACATGCACACACATACAATTTTGTATTCTGAATGATTCAAGTTCTCCCTTCTTCCATTAATGGACAAACTAAGACAATAAGAGTGAACAGCACACAGCCACACATGGCATATCAATGACACTACGAGGCCATGGGGGAAGAAGACAGAAAAGGCTTAGATGTCCTCCTCTCTTCCACAGACCCACTCAGCCTTTTCAAAGAGAGATGCAGACGGATGAGCTGCCGGTACAATCAGCTACAACAAATTCCAAGTTATAAAGATAATACTCAGAACACATTGAATAGCAGGCCTTAAGAAATACACGTTTAAGTTACAACCTCCTAGAGAAAAATGAGAAGAGGATTTTAAAGCAACAAAGGAAAGCAGTAAATACGAGAAAATGTAGAAACGCGTAACACAAAATAAATATGAGGGGGACCCCAAAGAACTGGAATTGTAAGCTCGATAAGCATTCTAGGAACCCACAGGTATTAGCGAATCAGCTAGCGTTGTGGTGAGAGGCTGCATTTGGCTTCAGTGATATTTCTGCTTGTTTGAGAGAGTCTATCAAAGCGTTTTGCCCATTTCACGATGGACGACTTGAGAGCGCCCCTGCCCACCCCACGCTGAGTGTTCTGCAGCTTTGACCACAAGCGGCATGACCCCGTGCCCCACCCTCCCTGGTCACCTGACATCACCCTGAGCAACTTTGTTTTGTTTCCCTGACGAAATAAGTCCTCAAAGGGAAATGTTTCATCCATGTGCAAGAGGTGAAACAAAAAACGGCAGACACAGCAAAAGACTGCAAAATTGACAAGTTCAAATACTACTGAACAGTGGGAAAAACATCTTGACAGGCGTATTGCTTCAAACGGAGAGTACTTTGAAGGTGACTGAAGTTTAAACCTGTCAGAATAAATACACAATTTTTTTTTTTTTTTGAGTTGAAGTCTCACTTCGTCGCCCAAGCTGGAGTGCAACAGAGGGAGCCTCGACCAGCAGGGCTCCGGCGATCCTTCCGCCTCAGCCTTCCGAGTAGCTGGAACTACAGGCACGCTACCACGCCCAGCTGATTTTTGATTTATTGTAGAGATGAGGTTTCGCCAAGTTGCCCAGGCGAGTCTCGAACCCGCGGGCTCAGACAATCCACTCACCTTTTTTTTTTTTTTTTTTTTTTAATTGAGTCAGAGTCTCACTCTGTCACCCAGACTGGAGTGTAGTGGCCGCTCCCGGCCACCGCAGCCTCGACCTGCCGGGCTCCGGCGATCCTTCCGCCTCAGCCTTCCGAGTAGCCGGAATTACAGGCACACGCTACCACGCCCGGCTGATTTTTTGATTTATTGTAGAGATGAGGTCTCGCTGCCCAGGCGGGTCTCGAACCCGCGGGCTCAGGCAATCCACTCACCTCAGCCTCCCAAGGTGCGGGATTACAGGCTGAGCCACCGAGCCCAGTTAATCCACTCACCTTAACTTCCCAAAGGCGTGGGATTACAGGCCGGGCCATTTTTTAATTTATTTTATTTATTTATTTTTGAATTGGAGTCTCACTCTGTCGCCCAGATTGGAGTGCAGTGGCCGCTCCTGGCCACCGCAGCCTCAACCTGCTGGGCTCCGGCGATCCTTCCGCCTCAGCCTCGCAGGTAGCTGGAACTACAGGCACGCTACCACGCCCGGCTGATTTTTGATTTATTGTAGAGATGAGGTCTCGCCAAGTTGCCCAGACGGGTCTCGAATCCTCAGGCTCAGGCAACCCACTCACCTCAGCCTCCCAAAGCACGGGGTTACAGGCTGAGTCACTGAGCCAAGACACAATTTCTAATAAATAAATTTGGGCTTGTTTGGGTCCCCCTCAAACATGACATCATGATGGTGTGGCCTGTAGTTTAATACTACCATGCTATTTTCAAATCATGAAGATGAGGAGCAAGTTACAACAAAGAAAACCAGCTCATAATTTTGTGTATAATACTCTTGAAGCATTTAGGCCAAATTCTAACTTTGAAGGAATAGGTACCAATAACTGAAAAGTTGCTTTGAGCTATTTTCACCCTGGAAGGGTAAAAGGAAAAAAAAAATCACTATAAGAATGCAGATGTCGGCCAGGTGTGGTGGCTCACGCCTATAATCCCAGCACTTTGGGAGGCTGAGGTGAGAGGAATTACCTGAGCCCATGGGCCCATGGGCTCAAGACCAGCCTGGGCAACTTGGCGAAACCTAATCTCTACAATAAATCAAAAAAATAAAAGTAGCTGGGCATGGTGGTGTGTACCTGTGGTTCCAGCTACTTGGGAGGCTGAGGTAGAAGGATCACCTGAGCCCAGCAGGTCGAGGCTGGGGTGGCCGAGAGCATGCTACTGCACTCCAGTCTGGGCGACAGAGTAAGACTCCATTCCAAAAAAAGAATGCAAATATCAGGCCAGGTGTGGTGGCTCATGCCTGCCATCTCAGCACTTTGAGAGGCTGAGGCGAGAGGACTGCCTGAGTTCGGGAGTTCAAGATCAGCCTGGGCAACCATGAGGAGACCTCTTCTGTAAGAAGTCACAAAATCAGCCAGGCGTGGTGGCACACGCCTGTAGTTCCAGCTACTTGGAAGGCCGAGACAGGAGGGTGGCCCAAGCCCAGCAGGTCGAGGTTGCGTGAGTTGTGATACTGCCACCACTGCACGCCAGCCTGCACGACAAGGGAGACGCCAACTCAAAAAAAAAGAAAGCAAACATCCGAATCTACCTTCCTTCCTTTCCTTCCCATCCTCCCTTTTTGCAGAGACAGGGTATCCCAACGTGCACTAGGCTGGTCTCCAACTCCTAGACGCAAGCAATCCTCCTGCCTTGGCATGCCAGAAATTCTCTTTCTAGTTGGTTATTTCTCTGGCTGCCAGAATGCAAAGCTCCCTTAGAGATGAGTGAAACGCTACTGACATCTCAGCAACACCAATAAATCATGTACTCTTCCCAAACACCAAAGGAAAAACAAATCTAAGGCTTGAGAAAATGAGCGTCCTGACTGTTGTAGACCTCACGAGCCCTATTTGTACTCCCTGGCATCAGCAGACACATAATACATGTGATGAAACTCTACAACTTCAAACATTAAGACCTGATTTCCCCACAAGTTACAACTGTTCTTAGAGGCAAATATTCCTGAATCAAGAAGTTGTCATTTAAATGTGGCACGTCGGCTGGGTGCAGTGGCTCAAGCCTGTAATCCCAGCACGTTGGGAGGCTGAGCTGAGATGACTACCTGAGCCCACAGGTTCAAGAACAGCCTGGGTAACTTGGTGAGACCTCATCTCTACAATAAATCAAAAAATTAGTCGGGGGTAGTGGCGCACACCTGTAGTTCTAGCTACGTGAAAGACTGAGGTGGAAGGACTGCCTGAGCCCAGCAGGTCGAGGCTGCAGTGGCTGTGAGCATGCCACTGCACTCCAACCTGGGTGACAGAGTGAGACTCCAACTCAAAAAAAAAAAGCAATGGGAAAATTAAAATATGCCAGTGTTTCTGTGTGGATACTGAGTCACTCCATTTCAGAAAGAAGGTCATATTTTCTTTTACTATAAATAAGACACATACAGCTGGGTGCAGCGGCTCACACCTGTCATCCCAGCACTATGGGAAGCGGAGGCGAGAGGACTGCCTGAGCCCAGCAGGTGGAGGCTGTGGTAGCCGAGAGCGTGCCACTGTACTACAACCTGGGTGATAGAGACGCTAACTCCAAAAATAAAATAAATGTGGCACTTCGTGAAAACCATAACATCAAAATAAATTCATAAGTTACCCTATTACCTACAGAAAACATATTTCAAAACTTCTAAGCCAGGCATGGTGGCTCACGTCTATGATCCCAGCACTTTGGGAGATTGAAGCAAGAGCGTGGCCTAAGCCCATGGGTTCAAGACCAACCTGGACAACATGGTGAGATCTCGCTTTCTACAATAAATCAATAATCAAAAAATCAAAAAATTAGCTGGGCAAGGTGGCACGTGCCCATGGTTTCAGTTACTTGGAAGGCTGAGGCAGAAGAATCGCCTGAGTCTAGCTGGTCGAGGCTGAGGTGGCTGTGAGTATGCCACTGCACTGGATGACAGAGGGAGACTCCAACTCAAAAAAACAACTTCTGAGCTGCAAACATACTTCTCTCTAAATCTGAAAGGCAAGAGATTGTATCAGCTAGAAATAATCGAGATCTTAAAAGTTAATATTTGACAACAAAAATAAATTGTTAATATAAGATTTCACTTAAAACATTTTTGAAAATTCAACTATTCTGAAGACAGCTAATCCTCTTACTTTAGAATGCGCTGTTGTTTTTCCACACGTGGAAGGAAAACTTTTAGTGACCCTCAAAAAGAAAGCCAGAAACCCAATCAATCAACCTACTTAGACATCAGAACCCCAATCCTCTGAAGTCTCAAGCATACAAAGCATCTCCATGAACCAAGGAAGAGGACAAGCCACACTCAACCTGCGTTCCACCAGCATCTGCTGAAACCCTATCGTTGAAACAACAACAGGGCAGGGTGATCGATGCATGTTGACACTCCGCTCGGTGCCCGGGGACACCATTACATCCTACCCGAGCGCCTGGGTCTACACTGTCTGCCCCAGACTGTGTCAGCCCGAAGCAGTAGCTCCTCCTCACGAGTCCAGGCTGACTACCCTGACCTGGGCTGCGTGTTCACCGAGGGGCCCTGGCAGGAAGAATGACAAGCCAGTCCACAGCGGTGGGAAGCTGACAGCCACATGCCAGGCATTTCTGCGCTTAGAAGGCCACTTCCTCAGGGTGTGCATCAATGGCGACAGAAGAAGCAGGAACAGGACAAGCATGTCACGCTGCACTGCACGCCCGCCTGTCTGTCCCCAGGACAGGTGTAGTCGAGGCTGATGAGAACACAGTGTTTCAGTAACAGAGGAGGGTCTCTTTACTTCCTTTTTTTCTCTTTTTTTTGAGTTGGAGTCTCACTCTGTCACCCAAACTGGAGTGCAGTGGCTGCTCCCGGCCACCGCAGCCTCGACCTGCTGGGCTCCGGCGATCCGTCCGCCTCAGCCTTCCGAGTAGCCACAACTACAGGTAAGCGCCACCACGCCCGGCTAATTTTTACATTTATTGTAGAGACGAGGTCTTGCCAAATTGCCCAGGCTGGTCTCGAACCCGTGGGCTCAGGCAATCCCCTCACCTCAGCCTCCCAAAGTGCTGGGATTACAGGTGTGAGCCACTGTGACTGGCCTGGGTTTGTTTTTTCTCCAAGAAAATACAACAAAGTAATATCCTCCTGACTTCACATCAGTACCAAGAAAGCAGCTCCCTGAGAACTAGAGTAAAAAGTCTGAACTGAAAGACCCTTGAATGTGTGTGTCACAGAGACAGAACTTAAGGTAAAGAACTTGGAACTCAGAAGTCAGCTAAGAGAAAGTTGAAAGGCACCACCATTTTGTCACTTACACTCATTTGCAAATAACGAACCAGGTTTCAGTGTTCAATTTCAAATACATTTATACAAGTTTTATATTTTACCCATCTTGTAATGGTATTTTAATTATCCTTTAAGAACACCTAAGCCAAAGACATATAAACAACACGAACCAAGAATACATTTTAAAAGTACTTTACCTTGTTTACTCAGATTTCCTAAAACTAATCACAGCAATTTTTTTTTTTTTTGAGTTGGAGTCTCACTCTGTCACCTAGGCTAGAGTGTAGTGGCACACTCACGGCCACCCCAGTGTCGACTTGCTGGGCTCCGGTGATCCTTCCGCCTCAGCCTTCCAAGTAGTGGGAACTACAGACGTGCACTACCATGCCTGGCTAAGTTCTGACTTATTGTACAGATGAGGTTTCGTCAAGTTGCCCGGGTGGGTCTCGAACCCACTGGCTCGGGCAATCCACTCGCCTCAGCCTCCCAAAGATGACAGGCTGAGCCACCGAGCCTGGCGTCACAGCAATCTTAATATTCTCCAACTCATACTAGCAAGCAGCTCAGGAAACGTGTTATGCCATATTCACTATCAGAAGCACGAACATCTGGTAACATTGCAGGAGAGGTCACGCCCGGCCGCTCCCATCGGCCACACACTCACATCTGCCGCCTGATGTATTCTTTCAGCAGCGCCTCCTCCACAGGGTACACCTGCACGCCGGTGCCGTCGTCGTAGTAATACATCATGCTGGTGCTCAGCTCTGTCGGAAACGGTGGATCGGTCCTCTCCCCGAGCTCTTGGTAGCCATATGAATACTCACAGTTCACTGGACGTGAGTGAGGAGAGAGAAAGGCGACCGTGGGTTAGAAAAAGAGTCCCTACAGAGCAGGTCCCATCCGAGGGGAGGCAACTTCAATGAAACAAACACAAAACCATCTCCGTCGTCAGACACACCACCAGTCACACACAACAGCAGACAGACCGCTCCCCCATCCGACAGACACGACGAGCACTCAAACGCATACATCGAGGAGGGCCCCGGCCTCGGCCTCTTCCCCGTCCTCGGCCTCTTCCGCGGCCTCTGAAGGCGCCTCGGGCGTTGCCCCCCTCGCTCCTCACACTGGAAACTTCATCTTGGTCGTCTCTCTTTTCTCTCTCTTTCCTCCAACCTTTCAAAAAGAAAACTCAAATTACAATTTGCCAGGAACATAACACGATTATCTTTAGGGCAACACAGCAGCCACCCGCTCCCACTTTGTAACTGATGGACAGCAGCAGGCATTCTTCAGATGGATCCAAATTACGAGACCTGATAAGGTCCAGTGTGGTGGCTCACACCTGTGATCCCAGCACTCTGGGAGGCTGAGGCAGGAGGACTGCTTGACCCCAGGAGTTCGAAAACAGTCTGGGCAACATCATGAGACCTTGTCTCTACATCAAAAATCAAAACTGTAATCCCAGCACTTTGGGAGCCAAGGTAAGAGGACTGTTTGAACCCAGGGATTCGAGACCAGCCTGGGCGACTTGGTGAGACTTTGCCTCTGCAATAAACCAGAAATTTAGCCAGGCATGGTGTTAAGCACCTGTGGTTCCAGCTACTTGGAGGGCTGAGGCGGGAGGATCGCCTGAGCTCAGCAGGTCGAGACTGCAGTCGCTGTAAGCATGCCATGCACTACAACCTGGGAAACACAGTGAGACTCCGAGTCAAAAAAAATTAAAAATTAAAAACTTAGCCAGCCTTGGTGGTACATGCCTGTAATCCCTGCCCCTCTGGAGGCTAAGGTGAGAGGATCATCTGAGCCTGGGAGGTCGACACTGCAGTGAGCTGTGATCAAGCCATTACACGGGTTACTGCTAAGTTTACAGGTCATAAATATTGAAATCAAGAAAAGTGACAGAAAGGTTATGTATAAAGTGGTAGTCAGACACAGTGGCTCATGCCTGCAATCCCAGCACTTTTGGGCAACACAGAGAGATCTTCTCACTACAAAAAATTCAAAAAATTAGCTGAGTGTGGTGGCATGCACCTGCAGTCCCAGCTGGTTGAGAGGCTGAGGCAGAAGGATCTCCTGGACCCAGGAGTCTGAGGCTGTGGTGAGCCTTGTGTACCACTGCACTCCAGCCTGGGCGACAAAGACTCTGACTCAGAAAAAAAAAAAAAAAAAAGAGAGAGAGAGAGAGAGAGAGAGAGAGATTGAGATTGAGAGATCCAGTGGGAATTTGTCTAAAACATCTCTAGCATAAAACAGGGCCTGTCAGGTGTGGTGGCTGACACCTGTAATCCCAGCAATTTGGGAGGCTGAGGCAGGAGGATTGCTTGAGGCCAGGACTTAAGAGACCAGCCTGGGCAACACATCAAGACGCTCTCTCTCCAAAAAATTAGCGGAGTGTGGTAGCGCAGACCTGTGGTTCCGACTACTTGGAAGGCTGAGGTGGAAGGATCGCCGGAGCCCAGCGGGACGAAGCTGCGGTGGCCGGGAGCATGCGTGCCACTGCGTTCCAGCCTGGGCAACAGAGTGAGACTCGAACTCAACAACAACAAAAAGAAACAATTCTGCCTCAAACTACGTATCACACGCCAGTGTACTTATAAAAACGACCACACTTTAAACAAGTATCATGAAAAACAGGCCCTGTGTGAAGCACCCTAGTCTGTCGAATCTTCAGAGCCTGACCCAGCGTACTTACTCCAAAACCCACTCACGGACTACAGTCTGCAGCCTGAAAAATCCACCCGGGGGAGCCTCTGCTGCTTGTGCACTAAACAACATGCCTGCAGATGTGCGTGACAGTGCTTGAATCAGTCAAAAACCTAGAAGTAGCCCAGGTGCCCACTCACAGGACAGAGCTTATCAGAGAATGAACACCCTCTCGCGAAGGGAACTAAGAGGAATGAAACGAGCAAACTAGCCAGCAGGAAGGAATCTAAGGAAATCCGACTACGCGCAAACACCTCCCGCCCAAGAATGGCGAGGAAGCCGTCCTGCAGGGCACCTTCAGAACGTGCACAAAGCCCGAGGCCCGGCCCATCTTCTCCGAGAGGGGAGACCGTGGGGTGAAACTGCGGGGAACGACCCAACGGCCACAGGTGGCGGCAGCACACATGTCCTACTTGGGGTGAGTCGCCAGTGCTCATCACGTTGCTTCTCCTTGTAACTTTATATATTTCTTCTCATATGTTCAAAAGTTAATGAGAAAAACTTGAATACAATTGAGTCTCCATTACTTTTAGAATAAAACTTTAAATGGCATATTTGAGAAAAAGTGGAACAAAGGCAAAAAGGTCTTTACGAGTATCATATAGAGAGGCAGATTTGTTGTTTTTTTTTTCATTTTTTACTTTTTGAGTTGGACTCTCACTCCGTCACCCAGACTGGACTGCAGTGGCCACTCCCGGCCACCGCAGCCTCGATCTGCGGGGCTCCGGCGATCCTTCTGCCTCGGCCTTCCAAGAAGCTGGAACTACAGGCGTGCACTACCACGCCTGGCTGATTTTTGAGTTATTGTAGAGATGAGGTCTCGCCAAGTTGCCCAGGCGGGTCTCGAACCCGCAGGCTCAGGCAATCCACTTACCTCAGCCTCCCACAGGCTGAGCCACCGAGCCCGGCTTGTTTTTTTTAAAGAGCAGTGGTCTCGCTGCGTCGCGCATGCTGAAGGGCAGTGGCTGTTCACAGGCGTTGTCAGCCTGCACCACAGCCCAAACTCTTGGGCTCAAGTGAGCTGCATGCCTCGGGCTCCTGAGTCACTGGGACTACACCACCATGCCTGGTTAACTCTTTTATTTTATTTCATTTTTCTGAGACAGTTTCTCACTCCGTCGCCCAGGCTGGAGGTCAGTGACAGGCTCACAGCCACCCCAGCATCAACCTGCCTTCCAAGTTGCCATAACTACAGGTGTGCACTACCATGCCCAGCTAATTTTTTGATTTATTGTGGTGATGAGGTTTCGCCAAGTTGCCCAGGCTGTTCTCAAACCCATGGGCTCAGGCAATCCCCTCACCTTAGCTCCCCAAAGTGCTGGGTTACATGCTTGAGCTACTGCACTTTTTATTTTAAAGACATATTTTGTGAACAATTGAGAAAAATATAACTAATGACTCAACTTTAGAGAGCATTTAGAAGGTGGGCTCGGTGGTTCAGCCTGTAATCCCGCGCTTTGGGAGGCTGAGGTGAGTAGATTGCCTGAGCCCGCGGGTTCAAGACCCACCTGGGCAACTTGGCGAGACCTCATCTCTACAATAAATCAAAAATTCAACCGAGTGTGGTAGCGCGTGCCTGTAATTTCAGCCACTCGGAAGGCTGAGGCGAAGGATCGCCGGAGCCCAGCAGCTCGAGGCTGCAGTGGCCGGGAGTGACCACTGCACTCCAGTCTGGGCGACAGAGTAAGACTTTGACTCAAAAAAAAAAAGAAAGCATTTAAGAATTAGTGTTGATGTGGTCAGAGGATACATTTTTTTAGGAATCCGTGATGAAGTATCATGACAGCTCCAAGTTACTTTCCAATGATTCAGCAGATGGATGTTAAACACCGGGACATTATTCTGTCTCGTCAGTGGGCAGATGTAAGGGTGGTGAAAATTATTAAAATGTAGATGGTGGTATATACCATAAAATTCAGCTTTCTGTATGTTTAAAGTTTTTCACAACATATCAGACATTTTTGAATGGTAATATAATGTCTGTAAAATGTTCTGAAGCCTTCTTGGTCCATGCACAGGACAGCACGCCCCATAAACCCAACGGAATTCAGCAGAAAACTGTAGGACCAAACACTCCTTCCATCATTTCCATATACCCTGTCCGCTGCTGTTTGAAAGCTGAGCAAGCTCTGTTGAAATTACACTTCTGGGCAGTGAATTTTTTTTTTTTTTTTTTTTTTT